TCCATATCAATTAACAGAGTATCATAGCCATAAGTTTAAAGTTCGAATTTTGGCTTGAGAATATACTGATTAATTCGATTTTATAAGCAGGGAAAGGTGGAACTATGTCGTTTAAGCCACTTTCATGGCCTGTTCGTCTACGAATCATCAAGGGAATAGCAAGGGGCATGGCTTTCCTGCATGAATTCAGTCCGAAGAGATATGTCCATGCAGATCTAAAGCCTTCCAATATTCTCCTGGGAGAAAACATGGAGCCTCAAATATCAGATTTTGGACTCAGCCGGCTTGCTAACATATCGGAAGAAGTTCATTCAGAACGAATGTTAAGTTATGGGACACCACCTTCGAACTCACCATACGAGTTTTCAGCATCAAATTCACCCATAAGACTCTGGACATATTATCAAGCTCCAGAAGCCTCAAAAGTGACAAAGCCATCACAGAAATGGGATGTGTACTCATTTGGTGTAATATTACTAGAGATGATTTCTGGGAAGTTTCCTGTGATTCAGATCGGTCCTATGGAAATGGATCTGGTTCAATGGGTTCAACTCGGAGTTGTTGAGGATCGGAAACCCCTGTCATCCATCATTGACCCTTACTTGGTTCATGATTTGGACATGGAAGGTGATATAGCGTTTGTGCTGAAAATTGGTTTGATGTGTGTGAGTAAGAGTCCTGAGAAGAGACCTTCTATGAGGTTTGTGAATGACAGTCTACATAAATTGACATCATCCAATGAATGAGAGATTGTATTTAGGTGAAAAGTCAAACCAGTTCTTGATTGTAAAATAGCTGATACAAGATTTCATTTCTTTTCTCTGAGAATAATTGCTGGGCATTTTTTTATATGTTAATTTTTTTAAATAATCAAATTGAATTCTTACTTATGAAGAGAGTTATGATACTGAATCCCTCCTAGGAGTATTATAAATGAAATTATATCCAAATAGGCAAAGTATGTATCCTATCTCCTTAATTACCAAGTAAACTAATCTTTAATGGTAATTGTTGAATTTAATTTTTATTTTGTACTAAAACTTTAAATTTGCATAACGAATACATTTTATATGTTAGTTTTGCGTTTTAGTTATTATAGTTATGAGTGTGCAAATCTCGGTCCAAATCAGAAAATTAGAGCAAACCAGATCGGATCGGTCAACTCTCTCGTTACCCTACCTTCTGCATCACTCAACTCCTGCCATGGTGTTCTCCTCACACATTGCTCAACACCTCTCCTCAGCCTCAACTTGAAAACTCGACAGCTCTCAAAGTCCTGGTCTTGTCCCTCAGCTCTCGGAGTCTCACCTTGTCTTGCCCTCTCCAAATCTCCTCTCCTCAGTCTCAGCTGCTTCCCCTCCAGCCAACCCAGCACCATTTGCAACTGAGAGGAAGGAAGTGCATCAGAGCAATTGGAAAAGTAGGCTGAGTTTTCTTATTTTTTTTCTTTTGAATGATTGAGGAATGTGGTTTAGGTTTTTAGTCCATCCGGTTTGGACTGAGACCAGATTGAAAACATACGGTCCAAACCTAGCCTGAACCTAATATAGACTGGTCTTCGGTCTGGGAGTTAACAGTTATTCGGTCTGATCCAGTCCGGTCTGATCTGGTATTGAATCGATGCATATCTCTAATCATACCTCACTTCTAATTTAGCAGTGATAATTCAAATTTTAATTTAAAAAGTAAAAATTAAATTTACATATGAGCAATTATATTACAGTTATGGATATATCAAAACTAATCCATTTGCAACAAAGTGTCAATAACATCAAACCTCCAATGAAATAACAGAACGATGCCAAAAACAAAACAAAATATACAAGATTCTTTGTTTCAACCACAACCTTTTTTATTAAGCATTTAGCACACTCTATACATTCTCGAACAGTTTGTATGTATATGAAGACATCATTAACGTGTTATAAGCATCAAAAGGTCGACACACAAACGAGGTGATTCCTATTTCAAGCACAAGAAGTATACCTACAAATCAAGAAACCAAGAAAGAAAGCACAAAAATACCAACCAACTGCTACCAAAATCGTTTTTCTTTTCTTTCGAAAATGGACTCACTGCGGCTTTATCTGAGCCTGAGCATTGTCCATATGCAGATGAGCCAAGGTTTCTGATATCGCTGCTACCGGGGCCTTTGCCATGGTTTGGTACTGAGAAGGCAGCACAGGTGGCGGAGGCTGAGATTTATATATCTGTGCGCGTGCTGGATCATCGTCAACCTTCAGCTCATTACTATAGCCAACTGCTTGTCCAGGAGCAACACTGCTCTTCTGAGGTTGGACATGAATTTGTTGGTGGACAAAAGACTGTTGTATATCTTCGTTGTAGGGAACATGAACCAGTGGGTTAGCTGCTTGAGTTGTTCGGAATGTCTGCGAGGTTAACTCGGGCATTCGAGTGACCTCCTTCAAAGGTACTTGAGTCGTAGCACTGAAAGAAGCATTGGAATGTACATTGGCCTGGCCTGAGGCAATATTTGATGCATCAACCACATGGAAATTGTAAGGTTGGCTCTGCCCAACCGGTATATAGTACACTTGATAGGGTCTAGGAAGTGGAAAATGGAATTGGGGTTGCTGCTGAGGCAAGGGAGGATACATAGAGTAGTAGTATGAACCCGAAAGGAGATCGGGTGGATTCTGAGGCAAGTAATGAGATCCGGATGGAACAAACTGCACTTGTTGTGGCTGTGGCTGGTCTGGAAGTGAAGATATTGTATACCCAGAAGCCGGAATTGATTTATTCATCTGGGTTCCATAGGGATTATCATGCAGTTTGGTCTCTGTTTCAAAAGGGTTTGTAGAAATCTTATTATCCATTGCAGGAACACTCATAATTTGGTCCATATAACCAGGGGTCTCTGCTTGAGAAATGGCTGTTGCCACACTAGTCTCACTGAAATTTAGCAAAAACGAAGCAAAGATAGAATCAACTACAAGTTTAATCAGGTCATAACTTCAGTATCCAACATTCCAGCTCATGATAATCAAATCTCCTTACCTCCTAATTTCCTATCAGAATCAATCTAGGAAATAAAAAGCACTGAACTTTCCAAGTACCCAAATGGGGGTATAGCATTTCTCATCAGCTTAACTAGCAACTAAAAGAAAGTAACATATTGCGCCACAAGTTGAATCAAAGTTCCTCAAAGAGAAAATTAAAGAAACAACCATCTAAAGGAACAAGAATCAATTGACTGTGAGAATACCTTGCAACTCGTTCTGGTGAAGAAAATTTTGGCAGATTATCAATCAAATTAGCAACACTTTCCTCGCCATTTGCTTTAATGGGTGGCAAATTCGACAACGAAACAGAAGAGGAAGTCGACCCGAAAGACGAACTAGTATCCAGAAAAATCGACTCATGTCCACCGCTATTATTACCCTCAATCTGCCCCTCCAATCCACCTTTCTGCATAATCCCCGCACTCCTCAAAGCGTCCACGAACCAAGACTCTGTCTTCGGATGCTGTAACACGGGTTGTTCTCGCTCTAACTTACTCCGGAACCAACACCCGCCTTCCGCTTTCTGCTGCCTGCTCTCGTCGGGAAGAGCCGGCGGCCGCTTGGTGGGGAAGAGAAACAATCGAATGCGGGAACTGGGAGGGGAGGCGGACAGGCGATTGTGCTCCTCGAGCATGATTTGAAGATCTTCATCCGTCGAGAGAGAAATCAGAGAATCGAGGTCGTGAGAAGGGAGCTGGTACTTGAGCGTGAAAGGGTAGTGAACGTTGAGGGTGGCCGCCAAGTGGGTAGTTAGGGAAGAGAGGTTGAGCGAGGCGGCGGCGTTAGAGACGGTGACGATACGGGTGTCCCCGCCGGCGTAGCAAAGGGACTTTGTCTGAGGCCGCGGAATAATATGTCCGCCGTAGCTACACATCAGCCGGAGCTTACCAGTGCTTCCCCCAGATATGGCGGCAGTATTTGTCGGTTGCGGTTGCGGCGGCGGCGGCGAGTCCATATCCGCAGTGGCGGTAGGGTTAGGATTGAACTTGGGTTAGGGCGTGATTATCGGAGGTGTGATCGAACGGATTCTGGAAATTGTAATTTTGCCTCTCGGTGAAGCAAACGTTTTACTCATTTGCATTTTGTCAGGCTAACTCTCTCTTTTGGGATTATCTCTATACACAGACACACACACACACACACATATATATATATTCGTATATGAATATATATATATATATTCTTTTATTTTATATTTTTTAAATGATTTATTTATTTATTTATTTTGATGATATAACGGCATGATGTACATCCAGTTGAGGTTTTGCTTTTGTCAATTTTATTAAAAATTTTAATTAATTTATAAAACATATGATAATAACATCAAATTATGAAGGAGAAATTACAATTTTTGGTATTATACAAAAATAATTTAATTTTTTAATTAATAAAAATTTATACTTTAAATATAAAAAAAAAAAACTATATAATCAACAAACTTAATACAATTAGTAAAAAATAACTACAATAATATTTTCTCTTAGTTTAAATTCCAATACATATACATATATATATATATATTATATTATATATTTCTAAAAAAAAGTCAAAAGAATATGCATATTTGAAAGCATAAATTATAATTTCCCATCAAATATTTTAATAAAAATATTTTTATAATCACACTTGGAAGATGTATAAAATAATTCTTGTCACACATGATGACTCCTTTACCTTGCTGGGAAAATAGAAAGAAGGAAAAAACAAAAGGTGGTGGAGTCGACATGCATATACAATATTATATATGCATAATATTATCACGTTATATGATAATAATATCACCAACTAGGCAGATAAATAATAATCTACAGCCACAACTAGTTACTGATCAATATATATATATTATACACCAGAGCACATACATATTCTTTTCTTTTGAACTCCAAACTCCTGCATATGGGTCCCCAGTGTAAGCATCGTCAGCCTTCTTGGTTGCTTAACAGGGAGAAGAACTGCGCATGAAGTAATCACAAACAACATTTTTTCTTATAAAATGATCACACCTCTTCAATCTATCTTTGCAGAGAAAACCGAACATAACCCGCGCATTAATGCAAGTTTAACGGTCAGAGATAATAAAGCATTAGTGAGACACACCATTGACACGTATTCAATCAGATAAAACCGTAATCAACAAAAGATCCCAGGCTACTATAGTTGGTAAGGGACAGCGAACTCACCAAATCCCTAAAAAAGAGAACTGCTGCCTTTCTAATGATCTACTCTGCATGCTAAAGCAACTACATCGCCAATACTATGTGAACCGACACACCTTCCAGCACAACACTGCCAATGTTCCTTTCTTGGTGGCCTACTAGCTAGCAGCCATCGACAATCCAAAATGATACAGTTTCAAACCAAAAGAAAAAAAAAACGGATATATAGTTAAGATTCAGGCAACAAGACAGCAAAGATTTCTGCGTGTACCTGATTTCTGAACATCCTGAATGCAGAAGAATACAACCCACTGTTAACCTCAACTCCAGGAGTGTTGTTCAGTAGCCCGACTATCTCTTGAATGGGAGTTCTATAAGAAAAATTTTTTCCCCATGTAAAATGCAATGAGGGAGAGGGCGGTTTTCATGGCTTCTCTGCCAGTCATATTCAATTTAATGCAAACATAGAAGAGCCACCAATGAGCGTACAAGGTGATTAGATACAAGAGTCGGTCAGTAAGAATAGTAGCAAGACTAGATTAGTTGCATCTCTGTTTTGATGGAATCCTCAGGTGCCAATCTAGCATTAGAAAGCTCAATAAGCTCACTGCTTTAACATTATCATTTTACTTTATAACAATGGTTCAACATACAGAGTGTTAGGTCTAGAGAGAGAAAAATCATTGGATGAAGATCCTGAAGCACTTAGGAAACTCCTAGAGTATGGAGGAAAATCGTGCTTTGTAAATTACCTGAAAGCTGAAATTTCAACATACAAAATTTTGAAGCATCACATCTGGCAACAATATTTGACTCTAGAACCAAGATAAAGATAAAACACATCATAAAGCATTTATCATCCTCTTCATTTCAGCAGACCTCCTGGGATCTGGCTCTTCAATTGCTCGCTCAGTTAGTACATGCTTTATACGGCACATTGACTTCCTCACCTGAATTTCATGGCCAATAGAAACCAACCATCCGATTAGGAAATGTTGTTTCAACAATTATCAAATTGTATAGTATTGTTTATTTCCAATATGGCTAATGGCATATTCATAAATTGTATTCAGGATTTTTTTCAAACAAAATCCAAGAAGATTCTGTTTAACCAGAAGCAGCTTACAGAAACGCAGGAGCATCCTTTTCTATGCTCCTACTTTTGATCCTTTAGAAGCTATTTTCAGCTTCAGCTTTTGGTTAGAAACCATTCACAAAGGCAAGTGAGTGCTGGCAACATAAGAGAACATTAAGATTTATGACAATAAAAAACCTCAACATATATTTACAACTAAACAAAAACTCTATCAGAAGCAAGAGAGGTTGGAAATTTGCCTCCTGTATTTAGCTTGGAACTGTGATGGTAAGATATCCAAGCAGGGTACAAGGACTAATGAGAGATTAGTGGACATTTCTGGTCATCTGGTTGGCTTCCAAATATATTTTTAAGTGCAAAAATTTGATATAGACATAAAACTTTTGGTCTTTTACCTGCTGGAAATGAGAATTGTTTAATGGTAGCGAGTTAAAAAGATGTAGGCAAAGTCATATATATTTGATCCAATTTTGCATAAATCACACCCAAATTAGTAATACTCTATTACTTCTTTCAAAATGAAATTTTCATCAATTCATGAATAAATTAAGCGCCAACTTATCATTGCACACAGATTTTTTCAAACACTAAATATTTTACAAAAGCGATATGAATTTCCTTAATAAAAAGAAAAAGAGAACAAACAAGAATTTCGATGTATGATCTAGTAGTTTAGAGATAAAGGAATGGGAATTAAATTGAACTAGATGGTTACTAGATCTAAACAGTGTGGCTAAAATGTACAATTGACAGTCTACTATGTAGCCCAGAAATACTTCTTCAGGCTGTAAAATGAGCACATAGAGGCATATCCAAGGGTTACCAAACACTAACTTATAAAAAGAGCACTAAAAATTGATAAGATCATTCTAGAATCTATCAGAACTGAAAGAGCTGTTTCCAACAAAAATTATATGACAAGAAAAGTGCCAAGTACCTTTGGGATGCGTTCTGGATTTGGAAACCGTAGGTTCTGAGAATGAAGCATCTGGTACTGAGTCATCAACATGTTTTTCTCCTTTAGTAAAACATACCAAAGCTTATGAAGGTCATCCCAGGACTTCAAACGCAATTCTGAAGCTTTCCAACTTCGACCTAACAGCAGAGAAGTTTAAGCAAATTTTTGACAGAATGCAGTTATGTAAATGCATTCCATTGAGAAGAATAACCACGCACAAATTTTCTTCTTATATTATTTAGGACCAAAAACAACTAACAGAAAGGATTCTACCATTTGAAGAACTATAAAAAAGGTACTTGAGTTCATTATTTGACAAGAGAACTCATACATTACACTTAATTTTTTTTAAAGATAATCGTAATATTACAGTCATTTTACTTAAAGATCATGTCCTCTCATCTTCTTCCTGCAATTACTTCATGAATACAAACAAAGAGATAATAGATAACTCAAACTATTACATGTGAAGTTTGCTTCTTAGTTGTCACTTCCAAATTCAACTTTCTTTCAAGCTAAATCCTCCTTGAAGTTCAATTTACATTCATGATTCATGTACAATAAAAACTAGAACCAAGAGAGCAACTATCTGATAGCCAAAAATAAGAAGCAGACGAAGTCAAATGAGGTAAAAGCCTAGTACCATATAAAACAGACTTCTCTTCGTCTTGGCTTCTATCTGCCTCGAAAAACTCCTCAAGAGGGTTATGTCCTGCCCTGACTGTAGAAGTAGCAGCTCCGGTCGCAGCAAATGATTCTGATTTTGCAGCAGCCAAGAATCTCCTCGAAATAAATCTTGTCAAAAACATGATTATAACCAATTTCTGCAATGTAGTACTATCACAGTTAAATACATATTTTCTAATAATTTTCCTTGATAAATCATATATCCAAGTACTTTGAACCTACTATGACTGCAGTATTCTCACGATTCATGAAGTCTGATTAATACAATATGCATTGACAACAAAAGCTTCACCAACTGTTGGAAGCTCCGAATATTACTTAATGTAGAGAAATGAAAATTCTCCAGTGAAAGGCTCAAATGACCAACAAGAAGCAAAACTGAGCCACCAAAGACTAATTTAGCTAGAGATGCAAAAAACCAAGAATTTAAACCACAAAAGGCAGATTACAGAGCACAGAACCACAAAGAAGACTTAAACCTACCGAAGCAAGATATCCATAAATGTAAAAGACTATGACAAAACCACAAGTAAAGTTCAGATGATCAAGCAGGCAACCATCAAGCTGAATAAACGGATCTCTACTTGCTACATGGTCACATAAAAAGAGTAGGTGAATCATGTTGTAGAAATACAAGTGAAAACCCAAGGGCAGCATCATAAGAATCAGAGATAGCATTCTGTGCGTCAAGTAATCAGGAAAAAAGGTGAAAAATCAGACGCACCATTCTATTAATGAAGCTACTGGAGAATATAAAGCATATACAACTCAAGGGAGGTCCAGGGTAGTAAAAACTTTTGCACAAGCTCGGAGACAAGGCAGAGCAACGACAGCGCTGGGGTTAGTGGGTTTGAGACTGAGCAGTGAGCAGGGTCTGGCATCTGGGCTTGAACTGGTGGTGATAGCAAGCTCAAAGATGGATTTACAGATGTGGTGATGGTGATGAATTGTGAGAGATTAGAAGATGAAATCAAGTTAGAGGCTGGACAGGTGAGGTAGAAGGTAATCTAGCAGTAACACTGACAGTGCATTTGGTTCAATTCTCATTTTATTCCTACTTAATTTGTACTTGCCCTATAGAATTAGAATATGTCTAATGTTTGACATTAACTCTTGTCTCCACTGGGAATTTCTGGCCATTGAAATTCAATTCACTTTAATTTATAGGATTCTCAGATAAAAAAGTTTAAGGTGAGGCAGCAGCAAAATTAAACATTAAAAAAATTCAAGTTTTATGTATGAAGACCTAGAATCCAATAGAGTTTCATCCACAATAACAAAATTATTCATTGGAAAACAACAAAGAATTTATTAAAAGTTGGATGTCTACTTACAACTCAAAACTTACATATTTATAATGTTTCAACACTTATCCTAAGAGAGCATAGATTGCTCAAAAGGAAATCAAATAGTAAAACTTACTATGATCCTTTACTAAATAGAACAAAAAATCACAAACATTTGAGAATATAAATTGTGACTAAATTAGAAATACAATGAAAATATTAAACTACTAAACTGTTAAGAATAAATCTAAAAATAAATATTAATACCTTAAATAATATCTGCAGTAGTATTCTATAATTCTTCTCAGCTTGGAAACTAGAGATAGAAATTAGGTGGCAAAAGAAGGAGGTTAAACCTAATACAATCATTGAGAATTTATATTTAGGAGCCTGTTATGTTTTATTCGCTTCTCATTGAATTTCTTGTTAATTACTAATTTTAGTGTGCAAAAGTATGATACAATTTGATATCTTTGAGTTAACATCAGCCTAATTCTAAATCTTTTGATGTTGAGAATTCACTCATCATCTTGAAATATAGAATAGAATTGTTGTCAAAGGATTAATAATAGTAACTCAAGTGCAATAAATTATTTTCTGTTTATCTATATGAAGGCTAGAATTATAACTCAAAATTGACAGATAATTAGCGGGGGTTGAACCAAACACAACGAGCTTTTTGGAGTCAGTTTTTTTAAGTTTATCTTCATAGTAGAACTACTAATGGAGCAATTGTAGGATTTATAAACATTTAAGTAATCTCTTAAAATTGAAATCTCACCAAGTTGTAAATATCCGAGAACCTAATGTAATCAACTTGGTTTTTTAGTGGAACTTCAAATCATCACTGACTCATAAATATACACATTCCTTTAGAGGGTAAAATCAATGCATGCTAATCTGAATCAAATTTTCTTACACCATAATACCAGAGGGTTACATATGAACTACCTGATTAATCCCCAATGAATATTAATAAGCGATAAAAGATACCCAGAATTTCCGAATTAGTGAAAACAGTAAAAAGGTGCTTTCTTTTACATCAACGTTTCAATACATTTATTTTTAACAAATACAACCAAAACAAGTGTTTCAAATGCTACAAGAAGACCCAATAACAAGTAATCAGACCGGCACTCACACACAACAAAAGTAATGATTCAAAAGAAAAATAAGAACAAAGAAGACAAGGAGAAGACATATAAAAAGTGACAAGGAAACGGGCAAAGGACTACAAGGGGAGGATGATCAAACGGATTTGATTGGATTTGAGGGAGCAGGAGAAGGAACGGGAGCAATGTCGTCAAGATCCGGAGAAGAATTAGGGTTGAGAGGGGCGCGGACGGCGGTGGAAACAGCAACATCATCAGGGTCGTAATCAGGGTTGAGGGATTGGTCGATGGCTTCCCGGCCCTTTTCTAGACAAGGCTTGCAAGCGAGCTCGATCGCTATCCAACCCAACACCACCCCTGCTATTGCTATCAACGCGCTTGTTATTGCCGCCATCTCCCCTCTCTCTGTGTTGAATTGATGATCTTAACTACGTTAATTTAAAGTACCACAAAGAGCACCTCAAACTAATACAAACCAGATACGCAAAACATCAAACAAACAAATAAACAGAAATTTTCATTTAAATATTTCGATCGCATCAGTCTACATCAAGAATAACCAGCCAAATTTCTTAGAAACACTACTTTCAAATTATTCTACAAATATTTTATATTACCAGAAGAAAGTCCAGGTACTTAGAAACTTACGTCTTACGTTTACAGGAGCGCAGGAATCGGTTCAAGTAATGGATCTAGCAGGAGAGCGACTGAGACGGCTGGATCGCTTCCGTTGTTATCGTAAAACTGCCAAGCTGATCCAGAACGATGAGGGGAAGAACAGTGAGAGAAGAGACGGTGAGTGCACAGCGCCGCCCCGGGCAGTAGTGATAAGGCGAAGAAGAGATTGAAATGGTTGTAAAACCGGTAACAAGTTACCACAGTTAAAAGTGGTAGTTTAGGTAAATTAAGTGGAAGGGTAATTGTGGAATTCAATTAGTTACCGTAAAAAACAATATATATATATATATAATTTTTAAAATACTATATTATATAATTTTTATTGTATCTTTGCTTCTCTACCAATTTGTATTTTATAATTACATAATATATAAATATTATAATTTTTACATTTGATGCGTAATTAAATTGATTTTGTTTGTCATTTTAAATTTATAATTGTAAATAGTAAAAATAAAAAATTAATTTCGCATTAAAATATTGTACTCGACTTGTATTGCGATTATAAGCACCACAATTACCAATAATTTTTTTATTATTTATTATAATATCTAATTCAATAATATTACAGGTTGATATAAAACTATATAACAAACTGTAAATGCTTGTATGCTTTAAAAAGGAAAAAAAAAAGCCCATTTTATTGGATTTGTTTATATATATATATATATTGTAGTTCATAATTATAATTGATCAACTTTAAAGAACAAAAAAATATGATCAGTCAATTAAAAGCAATTCACAGGTGAAAGTATAATAGTTTCGAAAGTCAGAATAAACATTACATTCAATTCTATTATATCATGTTTCACTATCATCATCCATGAATCAAGATCATAACTTTTTCAGTATCCAAATACTCCGAACCATAATCGCAATTCAACGAATCAAAGAATGTAATTGATTATTGAAAAAATTAGGCGCAATTTCGCTAGCAAAAATATCTTTAAATAAAAATGAAAGCAATAGATTAACAACCATCCGACTGGAGAAAAATGCAAGTCAATGTAAAATATAGGCTTCATATGCGGTTAAGCACTGTAAGAAGAAAGTTCTAAATGTAAAAATGGAGGTAAAACCGAACCAAAAGTCTCCTTTCGGTAAGAAACTAAAAAAACTCATGACAATGGAGATGTTCTTCCTATCCTTCAGGCCTTCAAGCCTCTCTGCGAACAAAGTATAGTTTACCCATGACATGAAGTATGGCAACAAAAGCAATGAAACCAATACTCATGACAAGTACAACATTTGGAGAGATTTTGAGTCCCGGGGCGTCATCTGTGTAGAACTGAAGCATTGTCCCAGCTGCTCCTCCCGATGCCCCGCCACTGGTTGTCCTCCTTCTACGCAAGCTTGCAGCAGCAGCTGCACTTCCTCTTGGGGGACCTCCGCTCAAAACCATTTTTTTTTTCTTTCTGGCATAAACAACCAAATTTCAGCAGTTTGGTAACCACAGGTCTATAGAAGATTAGAGATTGAAAAGTTTTTAACAAAACACTACGAAGAGTTGGGGCTTTTTTCTTCTTCTATTGTGATTTAACGATGGTTTCCGCTTCTCAATTCTGAATTGCTTTTAGTTTACAGCTTTTCAACTCTTACATTCCATATATTTCGTGAAGGACAGGACAAAAATATCTTTTCTAAGTCTCTTCTCCGCAGGGAAGAAGGTAGAACATTTGGGTTTGAAGACAAATGAATATGGTATAAACTAAATGATGTATGACAAACTTGGGATTATATTTCCTACTCAGGAGTGTGGGACAAAATCATAAGTTCAAGTATTCTTAGATATCACCCCTAGAAATACCAAAATATTAACTAGGAGGCAGACCTAGAGTCTCTTAAGCATCATATCTAAGGCGATTTCTTATGCATCATACTCAATGACATCATTATGCCAGACAACCAAGGCATTGAGAAAACTATCATGATAATTTACTCACTAAAGCCTATCTCAAAAGTAAAATCTCATAGGTACTTGTAATCACAAACATAAGATCCTTTTCTAACCATAAATCAGTAATGAATTTAATATGAAATTTAATAAGAAATTGAGGAATAAAAAAGATACTAAAGAACTAAATTTATCCCTTTATCATTCTAAGTAGATTAGCTAAACGCAGTTTTTGATCCTTTCAGAAATTCAAAGTCAAATTTATTCTGAAACTTTAGGCCAAATTAGAGAATCAAATGGATTTACTGATAGAGTAAAAGACCAGGGTCACCTATTTTATAGGGAGATAATTGAATAGTTCATACTACAGGGGCATGGAACTATTTCCCCTGCTACGACCTATCAGCCAATTGAATTCCATGTGCTCATTCAACTCCAATGAAGCGAGAATTTAACCCCCAAAATTGTATAACGAATTGATTGTTGAAATACTCAATTTCACAAAATCCACTCCCAAATATTCCATATTGTCCCTAAAAAATAACATCTCGTCATACACAAATTACTACAAGTTCTCAAGCTGTATTCGTCAAAAACCCTAAAAACCTCAATAAACAAATAGGAGTCTCAGTAGAATAAAGGATCGAAATCCCATCAATCACATCAAATTTCAATTGAGTAGAACAAATCGAAAGCGCATCGTAGTCAAGAAAATCCATAGATCTGAAGACGTAGGTGAATTATGCAATGCATGGATCTGCTGAATTATGGGGCGACGGATCATAGCAAGTTATATCACATGAACACCTATTAATAACTCATAATAACGAAAAAAGAGACGGACAGGTTACTCACTGCTTAAGTTGACAGCGGAGGGGTCGGGTCAATAGATCTGGCAAGAACCTGAGGCAGACAACGAAAAAAATGTCTAGATCGCGTCCAACGTCGTCAGAATACGGCGGATCGGATCGAATATGGTCAAACTACGGAGCGGTAAAGAAAGAGGCAGTGGGATATCGATGGCCAAGGGAGGATAGCCGCCGTAGAGAAGTGTGATGAGCGATCGGTCGGAAGAGACAGGACGAAAAAGAAAAGAGGATGCAAGATTTGACTAACGCCGCCTTGAATGTAAATGTAAAGACAGTAAGAGCGGGTTATGGGTACGGGTGTTAGTCGGATCCGGATCCGGATCCGACACGGTTCCGGATCGACTAACATATTTTAATTATGTAATAGAATTGTAATTAGGTTATGATATTTAGTTTTTTTTTTTTAAATTTAAAAAAATAAAGATATAATTATATAATTAAAATAATAAAAAATTAATTTAAATGTTTCAAAATAGTAATTTAGTATATTTGGTTACATAATAAAATAACTGATTAGAATTTCCTGCAAATGGAAAAATTCCTTTAGAACTTCAAATGGCTGACCAGAAGATGTGGCGAAAAAAACAGATCCCAGTCATCCGCCAAATCCAAATATTTTGTCGTCGTCAAATTCCATTGCAGAAACCTGTAATGCCGTAAGGTATGATATATACACATATACATATACATATATATATGTTTATTTTAATTTGAGTATTGCTTTTTATCTTTATTTTCTAATCACGACGTTCTCTCCACTTTCTTCTTGTTATCTTCTTCCGTCAAATATTTTCCACTTCAACTACTCTTCATAATTACTGCGTATGAGTCCCTTTCATGTGTATTCTGTGAGTGAACCTCACGGATAAGATGGTTGTTGCTTGTGTTTTATCATAACTTTCTACTAACCAACTTAATTATTACTTGCATCATTGTGTATGTCTCTGTGTTTTTCAATTGGTTGGTACGATGCCTTGGTGGGATTTGGGTTCTCTTTCTCCTGTTAAGAGTCTGAAGGGCATTTTTCAGGTTAGTGGGTTTGCTGCTCTTGGTTCTTGATCTGTGCGTTGATCATTGTCGTTGATAAACTGAACTGTAATTTGGATCATTGTGGGTGTCAGATTTGGGTTTTTTTTTTTCTCCTGTTAAGAAGCTAAGGGCATGTTTTAGGTTAGTGGGTTTCTATTCTTGGATCAGTTTCTGTAATATGGTGATGGGTGCAAATCTTGGGGATTAAATTATTAAGAAATAATTTGAGGGGTTTTTTATTCTCTTGATCAGCTTTGAGTGGACAAAACCTTCTCCTAGAATGAATGGGTTTTGTTTTATGGGAATGAATTGTGGTAATACCATAATGTGGTGTTCTTGGGTTTGTTGACTTGAAATCTTTGCATCATGGGGATGCAAGTATAGTGTTAAACATTATTGGAGAAATCTGATTGCTTGTGAGATGTTTGATCTCTAATTCTAGTAAACATGATTTTTTTTTTGTCACTTGAGTTGTTATATTAATTCCTAGAAGTGTGAAGGGGCCAGAAATTTTTCCGACTGTTACTGGGTATATTACATTTTATTCACAACCAAATTTCTCTCTTCTGCTTGTTTATTCAATTGGTGGTATCACAATTGGCATGAAATTCATTTCATTTTCTAGAGGAACCTTTTATGTAACTATAATAGTATGGAGTAAGTACTTGTTCTGCTTGTCCATTCTATTGGTGGTATCACAATTGGCATGAAATTCATTTCATTGTCTAAAGGAACCTTTTATGTAACTATAATAGCCTACATGGTCATCTGAAGACAGCTAAGTAGGAGATATTTTTGCTATCTTAACAAATTTCTCAAGGATGTCTTTCATCAAGACTTACAGTTACTTTATATTTTCTCAAAAAAAGTTACTCTAATAATAGCTAATAAAGTGGAATACTGTCCTCCACTCAAGTGATCGGTGTGTTAAGGATGCCAACTACTTGGCATATCCCCCAGCCACTCAACCATGTTAAGAACCTGTTCGTTTATTTTCTTCGTTTGTTCAGTGAGATCCTCTTATTGAACTACAGTTACTGCAAGATCATATAGTTCTAAAAGGCTTTGGCTTTGGGATCGAAATGATTGGTCATGGAGGATGTTCCATCATTTATTGGTATTTGATATTTTTTCAATTTAAATCCTAATAGCTCAAGTATGTTAATATGGAGTAAGATTTCTCTTTAGCTTGCTTTATTTTTTTTTGCCTTATTTAAGAAATACTGAAGGATAACCTTTTTCCAACTTAATTAGGGAAAACATGTTTTATAAACAAATCGTTTTAATGCATGGATTACAAACTTTCATAACTAAAGAGTTTGTTATGGTTCTCGTTCTTATCTCATTTCGAGTCTATTCCAAACTGCAATGGTTGTAAGCATTTGTCTATTGGCAATTAGTGTTCCTTGGTCAGGAAGGTTAATATTTATAGGATGTGATGAAGTGCAGATAGATGTCTAGTGCAAGGATACTTTCAAATGCTTCTTGGTTGTTGCATATAACATATCTTCGCTGGATTATATGTCTCTGGCTGAGTAAATGACAAATTTATCCTCTTCTGCAATGAAGTGAAAAGTTCATATATTCTTAGTGAAGGTCATTTGGCCTACACGTAGCCACAATTTAATTGAAATAGTAACATTAGGTGATAGTGGATTCTTTTGGAAGGATGTATATAGTTAAGGTAATTCTATCTTTGCATAATTTCTAACCACAAAGTCCTGAAGATAAGTTTCCATCTGGGAGTTTAGTGAGTTTGGTGGTTCCTCATCACATATCTTATCCCTGAAGATTAATTTGTTGAGATCGTCTAGGATGTATCAGGCAAGAAGCTGGAGATTTCTGCAAATGCTAATCCTTGTGTTTCACCCTGTCATATTCCATTGATTGAACATAAGAATGAGGAGGTATCTCTTATCTACGACCTTTCATCTGCTGCTTTTTAAATGGTTATTCTGCTTGTAGTTGTTTCTTTACTTTCTTGAGATTCAAGTTGTTACCTTTATACTGCAAACTTATTTAAGTTGAAGAAAGGGTTAATTGAACCCTAAGATTCTTTTACCTCAATATTTGCATTGTTGTTTATCATTCATCTACCAACAAAAGCATTCAAGTTAGAAAGTCCAACATAAATTAACAATCAAATCAGAACGTAGGCATAGAATGCCCATTATACTTCTTTCGTGCATTTTTGTTTTCATTATTTCATTCTTTTGGGGGATTTTGGAGGTTAAACCAAATGAAGGCTCTTTCTTATAAACTTCACCAATTGTAGTCAAATTGTTTTACTACGATGTTTCTTGATAACTACTACGATGGTATCCAAAATCCTAATTCTTTTCTTAGATTACAATTTTTATGCTACTTGGTTCCATACCCATCACTGCAAAAAGTTTAATGTCGGTACTTCATGTTTAGGATTTAGGACTGTATCAGTGTTCTGTCATAATTTTCTTTAACGGCCTGCCTATTTACCAAACCCCTTGTTCAAGTATTCAAATAGTTCACTGTTGAACTCCATGATGAGTTGATGCTGTCTAGGAACTCAATCTTTTCAGGTTATGGCACAACTCTTAGAATGTGTAATTAATCTTTTACTGCAAAATTTTTATGTGGATTTAGATACTCTGTTGATCCTGTCGTACACGTAATATGAGATACTGTA